ACTTCAGCCTCCCAGGGCTGTGAGATGATACACTTCCATTGTTCTAAGCCATCCACTTTGTACTAGCTTGTTCAGCATGGCTAGAAACCGACACACCTGCCATGCCATCCAGTCTGGGCACCAGACCGGTGGAAGTTCCCCAGTGAGAACTATGGAGGGAAGATCCCTGTTCCTGTGCTCTGGCTCCCAGGGAACCCCCCGCCTCCCCCAGCCTGGCTGTCCTGCACTGTCATCTGCTCCTCTTTGTCAGCTGCCTCGGATTGTGGAGTGTGCTTTTTAAAAAAAAAAAAAAAAATTATTAATTTTATTGGAGGATAATTACTTTACAATATTGTGATAGTTTTTGCCATACATCAGTATGCATTGGCCGTAAGTACACGTGTCCCCCTCATCCTGAACGCCCCTCCCACCTTCCTCCCTATCCTATCCCTCCAAGTTGTCACAGAGCACCAGGTTTGGGTGCCCTGTTTTATACATCAAACCCTGCTTTATACAAACTATGGTAATGTATATGTTTCAATGCTATTCTTGCAAATCATCTCACCTTCTCCTCCTTCCATTGAACCCAAAAGTCTATTTTTTTATGTCTGTGGCTTCTTTGCTGCCATGTATGTGGGATTGTCATATCATCTTTCCAGATCCCATATATATGTGTTAATATATGGCATTTGTCTTTCTCTTTCTGGCTTACTTCTGTATACTTACTTACCGTATAATAGACTCTAGGTTCACCCACCTCATTAGAACTGACTCAAATGCATTCCTTTTTATGGCTGAGTAATATTCCATTGTGTATATGTACCACAACTTCCTTATCCATTCATCTGCCGATGAACATCTAGGTTGCTTCCATGTTCTAGCTATCATTGTAAATAGTGCTGCAGTGAACACTGGGGTACAGGTATCTTTTTCAAGCAAGGTGAAAAGACAGCCCTCAGAATGGGAGAAAATAATAGCAAACAAAACAACTGACAAAGAATTAATCTCCAAAATGTACAAGCAGCTTATGCAGCTCAATACCAGAAAAATGAACAACTCAATCAAAAAGTGGGCAGAAGAGCTAAACAGACATTTCTCCAAAGAAAACATACAGGTGCATAATAAACACATGGAAAGACGCTCAACATTGCTCATTATTAGAGAAATGCAAATCAAAACCACAATGAGGTGTCACCTCACACTAGTCAGAATGCCTACCATCAAAAACTCTACAGACAACAAATGCTGGAGAGGGTGTGCAGAAAAGGGAAGATTCTTACACTGTTGGTGGGAATGCAAATGGATAGAACCACTATGGAGAACAGTATGGAGAATCCTTAAAAAACTAGGAATAAAAGTAGCATATGACCCAAGAATCCCATTATTGGGCATATACCCTGGAGTGTGCTTTTAAGTGTAGATGAGTTGTCTCCTCTTCTAACTGGTAACCAGAAGCTGTAAATTCAAGGTAGCTGGGGGTGAGGCCAGTGCAGCCATTTCAGATTGCAGTGTGCTCCTGCCGTTAAAACACTTACCCCACCTTGCTGGTTGAGGAACACCTGACTGAGATCTGGTGTTTCGGGACCTCTGTGATGTGCGAGAGAGAGAGAGAGAGAGAGAGAGAGAAAGGTTCTTGGCCTCAGCCTCCCGCAGCAGCAACCAGCAGGCACTGATGTGCTGGTTGTGGATTCACTGCCTGGAGCTCTTGGGTCTTCTGCTCTGGCCCAGTCAATGGGTGTGAGACCTCTGAATTGCAGTAACTGCCCCTAAGTTTCCCCCTTCAGACAGAAACTTCAGAACAGATTTTTATAAGGTCATGTTTTAAACCCCCCAACTGCCTAGCTACTCGACACTACTGCAAAACTTCAGCTTCAGAAGAATGCAGCGAAAGGGCGGTGTCCCCTCTAGCCATGGCTTGCCCCACCCTGATATTTCCATGAGTGTTTTTCTCGGTGATTCTCAGAATCTCAGGTAGCTGAGGGAGCCGCGTCAGCGATGAGTATCTGTCTGTGCGTGTGTTCAGTCATGTCCAACTCTTTGTGACCCCATGGACTGTAGCACTCCAGGCTCCTCTGTCCATGGAATTTTCCAGGCAAGAATACTGGAGTGAATTGTCATTCCCATCTCCAGGGATCTTGCCCATCCAAGGATTGAACCCGGATCTCCTGCGTCTCCTGCATTGGCAAGCAGATTCTTTACCATTGTGCTAGATGAGACGTCCAGGGATATTAAACAGAATGGGTGATTTGGGGTGAGGACTGTTCAGAAGCTGAAATTCCTGTTTACAGTTCATTACATTTTGAACACCAGAGGGCGATACAGTCACAGGGAATAGCTGCTCGGCTTCATTTTCCTAATGTGAGATCAAATGTTGAAAATTGTTCTTTTGACTGTTTTGCTCTGTCCCTAAGAAAGATCCAGCAAAGGCTTTTGAGACCACTTTCTGGAGGTCCAAGTCCTGACGCCGGGTCCTGGGACACCCACCAGAGGGTGCTGGGCAGGGTTACACTTCCTCTGTGGGGAAGCCCTTGTCACTGACCCTCCCAGCCCATGCTGAGACTGTCGGGTCTGCTCTGCTCCTTGGGAGGGTGTGGATTGTGTCCCAGGGAAAAGCTAATTCGTGTGGGGACCCGGCTTGTTACTTCCAGGGCCAGCCATTTAACTGGTTTCCTGAGTTCTACTTAGTATCTGGCCCTGAAAGAATGGAGAAGCCCAACAGAGGAGACCCCGCAAGAAGGGCTGACGGACTGCAAGGGTCCTGGGGCTGCCCTGGAGGCTCAGACAGTGAAGAATCTGCCTGCATTGTGGGGGACCCAGGTTCGATCCCTGGGTCGGGAAGATCTCCTAGAGAAAGGGAATGGCTACCCACTCCAGTATTCTTGCCTGGGAAATCCCATGGACAGAGCAGCCTGGCAGGCTACCCAGTCCATAGGGTCACACAGAGTTGGACATGACTGACTGACTAATGCTCTCACTACTTTTACTTTATCAGTTGTTGCCCTGACAGTTGGTGGGACTTTGCTGGTGGCCAGCTGGTGATCCACCTGGTGATCCAGGGTCTGTGGCCCTGGATCAGCTCTCACCAATGGTCTCTGGCTGCAAGGATGTTCTGGCAGAATGTTCATGGCTTCTGGAGCACTCTGGACAGTGGTGCAGGACTCATGGAAGAGTCTGGGAGAAGCAGGTGTAGAGCAGTTGGGAATGGCCCAGGGGAGGTTTGACAGAGGTGGTGAGGTCCCTGGAAGGGGTGACAGGGCTCAGCTTTGGGCCTCTGAGGCCTGTGAGGAGAGCCTGAGCCGCACAAGTGCCCACCTAGGTGGACAGGAGGGAGACAGCATCAGAGCCTATCTCATCCTGCAGGCTTAGAAGCCATGGTGTGTGTGTGTGTGCCCCTGACTACATATCATTCAGAAAGGAGACTGTCTACTGGTGCTCCAGTGGCTAAGACTCTGAGCTTGCAATGTAGGAGGTCGGGGTTTGATCCCTGGTCAGAGAACTAGATCCCACATGCCTCAACTACGAGTTCATGTGCCGCAACTAAGACCCAGCGAAGCCAAATACATATAAAAAGAAAGGGGCCTGTCTACTTGCACCCACTGGGAGAGGCATCTCAGCTCTAGCTATTCAGTCTGTGCACCTTCCAAAGGCATTCAGCAGACAGCGAGACTGTGCTTAGCAATGACATGTTGTCAACTGTAAAGCACCGCTTACTCCACAAAACAGAAGAAGGTCATGCAGACCAAAAAGCTGTGCTAATGAGTTGATTACAAGTTAGTGGGTCCCAGCTGTTCATCTGAAAGACAAACCTTTAGCAAACCGAGGGGGAAATGTGTATTTACAATGCTGTTGCTGCTGCAAAGTCGCTTCAGTCATGTCCGACTCTGTGTGACCCCATGGACCATGGCCTGCCAGGCTTCTCTGTCCATGGAATTCTCCAGGCAAGAATACTGGAGTGGGTTGCCATGCCCTCCTCCAGGGGATCTTCCAGGGACTGAACCTGTGTCTCTTATGTCTCCTCCATTGGTGCCACCTGGGGAGCCCTGTACCTACAAGAGAGGACACAAAGTCATTGCCATTATCCCAATGAGTAAGTTGAAACGTTCCTCTGGAAAATCCACTGTGGACACGAGAAACTGGTGCAAGTTCAGAGGACTGCCCTGCTTCCAGGCCTGTGGTTGTTGCAGGAGCTGCTTGACCACGTGCACTAATTAGAGAGGATTCTCGGCTATTTATGATTGTTTCTCAATTGAGCCTTTTAAATTAACAAGGATATAAAAGGACAGATTTGGAAGTAGAGTACTTAGGTGGGGCCCTAGTTCCAGCTTCCTGCCCCTCAGGATTGATGTTCATGCTTGGGGAAAGTGACATGACCACAAGTAGTCAGTTAGCTCTTCCTTAAAACAGACACTGAGTGTCAGATAATGTATCTGACATGTGGAAAACCTTAGGAAATTACCAAGTATGATATAAGGGCAGTTATTAATCTCTAGAAGGAATCCTTAAGTATTTCTTTCTCTTTCAAATACATGTCTGTTACCTGTGCTGGGTGAGGCTTCATTTGAAAGTGGGCCTTATGGTGCTAGTGGTAAGGAATCCACCTGCCAATGCAGGAGATGCAAGAGACGGGGATTGGATCCCTGAGATGGAATGATCCCCTGGAGGAGGAAATGGCAATTCACTCCAATATTCTTGCCTGAAGAAGCCAATGGACAGAGAAGCCTGGTGGGCTACAGTCCATGGGGCTGCAAAGAGTTGGACACGACTGAGCAATTAGTGGGTTTGTTAGTGTTAAAGATATATCTATAGGCCAGTGCTATTGAACTACTATTTAAATGCAAAAAAAAAAAAAAAAAGGAATGACTACTATTCTGATAGTTGTGTACTCCGTTGGCTTTGTAGTCTGTTTGGCCACATTTATATGACAATGTGCAGAATAATCACTATACTGGAAACCATATTGAAGGGAAATTTTGCCTTGAGTAAAGGTTTTTATTTTTGTTTTTGTCCTCTATCTCTTTTAGCTAATTAACAAAAGAGACATCTTGAGCTAATGTGAATGGGGAACAACTACAGGCAACATCAAGGATCAACGTTCTGCTTAGAGACATTCTGTCAAATAAACACTTCTGTTGGACTTGACGTCTCCTTGGTTTATCACAGCAAGTGCTTACTGTAAGTAAGCGACAAGGTGTTTAAATTTCACATCTGTGAAGTCCATGTTATGTTTCCTAGCAGGGGACAAGACACAATCAATACTTTTTCAGTAATACAGGTCTCAGATTCAGAGTTTTATTTAACCAAACAGATACTGTCCTTGACACTGAACTACATATTGAACCTCACTAAGGAACAGGTTTATTGATACTTCCTTGTTTAAAGCCATTACTCCAATTTTTTTTTTCATGAACTTTAAAACATACACCATCTGGCTCATTCACAGATTGATAAGCAAGGGAATATATTAATAGACTGTGACCTCCTGAAGCAAAGCTCTCTTGTGAGTTAAGAGCCTGGGATGTGACATCAAAGCCCAGGTCCACGGCTTAATAGCTGGTGAATTTGGGCAGTTCATCAGCCTCTCTAATCTTATATTCCTCCTCTGTAAAATAAGGATAGGAGTATACCCTCCTCATACTTTTGTAGGTTTCCAACAAATAAATCTAATTAACATGTAAGTTACCAGCATCACCAGCACCATTATTACCACTTCTAAAAGCGTCACAACCCCCAGTTCAATGTCTTGCACTATATGTATAGCATAGCTCATTCTGCTTACTGATAAATCAAAGATTTGGGGTTAAATCTACCAGGATTACACATTCAAATTATTAAAGCACTTTCAGCATATTCTGTTTCAATTTTAGGGGGCAGAGAGAGAGCCAACGATTGTCTTAACAACTGCTCAAACCCCAACCCTAGAAAATAATCAGTAGATTTGTGTTTATGAAAGTTCCTAGTGTCATTCTTGGCACATCTATACTAGACATTTGAAAAAAGTTCTAAGAGATAAAAAGGGTTCATATTTTATGACTGTTTGTAGAGAAGAAAAGAGGATTAAAGTGACTTGCCCAGAGTCTACAGGAATGTTGTTTTTGGATAATTTTTCTTGATTTAAACTATGAGAAGCCAAATTTTATTTTCTGTTGAATCACACAGATGCCATTATTTTATCTAAGTGTTTTCTTAGGAAACCCAGGCAAAGGAAAATTCCTCCAGACAGCTGCTTGGTCAACAAGTGCTTCTCATGTTACTTAACTAAAGTTGTCAGGTCCAGTGAATCTGGGAACCAGTCAGCACTGGCTCTTAATGCAGGCAACTCTACAGAACCACCTGGAGCCCTAAAAGTGCCTGAGCTGGGTCCACTGTGCAAGCTTTTGTGTTGGGTTAAAACTAAGAGATTTTTGCTTTGGGACACCATGGGTGGCACCTAGACATCAGAATTCTTCAATTTCCCACTGAAAGAGTTCCTCTCTAGTTTTTCCCTCTTTAGGTCTTCTATGGTTCTTTTTAAAACTGAAGTACAGTTGATTTACAATGGTATATTAATTTAGATATATAGCACAGTGATTAAGTATTTTTATAGACTATATTCCATTTCAAAGTTATTAAAAATAACAGATATATATTTCCCTGTGCTGTACAATATATCCTTATTGCTTATTTATTTTATACATAGTAGTATGCATCTCTTAATCCCATACCCCTATCTTGTCCCTCCTCTTCTCCCTCCCTACTGATAGCCTCTAGTTTGTTCTCTATATCTGTGAGTCTATTCCTATGTTGTTATATTCCTTTGTTTGGTTCATTTTTTAGATTCCACATACAAATGATCACACAGAGTAATTGTCTTTATCTGGCTTATTTCACTAAGCATGACACTCTAGGTCCATTCATGTTGTTGCAAATGGCAGAATCTTATTCTTTTTACAGCTGAGTAATATTCCAGTGTGTGTGTGTGTGTGTGTGTGTGTGTTGTACACACTGCATCTTCTTTATCCATTTATCTGTTGATGCACATATAGATTGCTTCCATATCTTGGCTATTATAAATAATGCTACTATGAACATTGGGGAGAATGTATTTCTTACAATTAGTGTTTTTATTTTCTCTGCCTTGCAGTGGAATTGTTCAGTCATATGGTAGTTCTTCTTATACTGTTTATGGGGTTCTCAAGGCAAGAATACTGAAGTGGTGTGCCGTTTCCTTCTCCAGTGGACCACGTTTTGTCAGAATTCTACACCATGGTCTGTCTTTGGTGGCCCTACCTGGCATGGCTCATAGTTTTATTGTTAGACAAGGCTGTGGTCCTTCTTAGATATTAAGAAGCCTTAAGATATTAAGACACCTTCTTAGATATCTATATTCTTAGATATTAAGCCTTAGAAGAGCCAAGGCTGTGGCTCTTCTTATATATTAAGAAGAGATGGTAAGAATACACAGAAGAACTCTACAAAAAAGACCTTCATGACCCAGATAACTACAATGATGTAATCACTCACCTAGAGCCAGACATCCTGGACTACGAAGTCAAGCAGGCCTTAGGAAGCATCACTACCCGCAAAGCTAGCAGAGGTGATGGAATTTCAGTTGAGCTATTCCAAATCCTAAAAGATGATGCTGTGAAAGTGCTGCACTCAATATGCCAGCAAATTTGGAAAACTCAGCAGTGGCCACAGGACCAGAAAAGGTCAGCTTTCATTCCAATCCCAAAGAAAGGCAATGTCAAAGAATGTTCAAACTACTGCACAATTGCACTCATCTCACATGCTAGCAAAGTAATGCTCAAAATTCTCCAAGCCATGCTTCAACAGTACATGAACTGAAAACTTCCAGATGTTCAAACTGGATTTGGAAAAGGCAGAGGAACCAGAGATCAAATTGCCAACATCCACTGAATCATCAAAAAAGCAAGAGAGTTCCAGAAGAAACATCTGCTTTATTGACTATGCCAAAGCCTTTGACTGTGTGGATCACAACAAACTTGGAAAATTCTTAAAGAGGTGGGAATACCAGACCACCTTACCTGCCTCTTGAGAAATCTGCATGCAGGTCAAGAAGCAACAGTTAGAACTGAACATGGAACAACAGACTGGTTTCAAACAGGGAAAGGAGTACATCAAGGCTGTATATTGTCACCCTGCTATTTAACTTACATGCAGAGTAAACCATGCAAAATTCTTGGTTGGATGAAGCATAAGCTGGAATCAAGATTGGCAGGAGAAACATCAATAACCTCAGATATGCAGATGACACCACCCTTATGGCAGAAAGTGAAGAGGAACAAAAGAACCTCTTGATGAAAGTGAAAGAGGAGAGTGAAAAAGTTGGCATAAAGCTCAACATTCAAAAAACTAAGATCACAGTATCTGGTCCCATCACTTCATGGCAAGTAGATGGAGAAACAATGGAACAGTTGGAGACTTCATTTTTCGGGCCTCCAAAATCACTGCAGATGGTGACTGCAGCCATGAAATTAAAAGACACTTGCTCCTTGGAAGAAAAGCTATGCCCAACCTAGACAGCATATTAAAAAACAGACATTACTTTGCCAGCAAAGGTCCATCTAGTCAAAGTTTTGGTTTTTCCAGTAGTCACAGATGGATGTGAGAGTTGGACTGTGAAGAAAGCTGAGCACCGAAGAACTGATGCTTTTGAACTGTGGTGTTGGAGAAGACTCTTGAGAGTCCCTTGGACTGCAAGGAGATCCAACCAGTCCATCCTAAAGGAAATCAGTCCTGAATATTCATTGAAAGGACTGATGCTGAAGCTGAAACTCTAATTTTTTTGGCCACCTGATGCAAAGAACTGACTCATTTGAAAAAACCTTGATGCTGGGAAAGATTGAGGGCAGGAGGAGAAGGGGATGACAGAGGTTGAGATGGTTGGATGACATCACTAACTCAATGGACATGAGTTTGAGTAAGTTCCCAGAGTTTTTGATGGACAGGGAAGCCTGGTGTGCTGCAGTTTATGGGGCTACAAAGAATCGGACACTACTGAGTGACTGAACTGAACTCAACTGAAGTGATGTTAGTTCTATTCTTATTTTTTTGAGCAAACTCTGTACTATTTTTCATTGGACTGCACCAATTTTCTTTCCCACCAACAATGCAGGAGGGTTCCCTTTTCTCCACATCCTTGACAAAATGTTATTTGTCAACAGCCATATAGACAGGTGTGAGGCAACATCTCATTGCGGTTTCAATTTTCATTTCTCTGATGATTAGTGATATTGAGCATATTTTCAAGAGTCTGTGGGTCATCTGTATATCTTCTTTGGAAAAACATCTATTCAGTTCTGCCCATATTTTTCATCAGGTGTTTGTCTTTTGATGTTCAGCTGTATAAGCTGTTTATATATTTTGGATATTAACCTCTTGTCATTCACATCATTTACAAATATTTTCTCCCATTCCATAGGTGATCTTTTCATTTGTCAATGGTTTCCTTTGCTGTGCAAACATTTTTAAGTTTAGTTAGGTTCCATTTGTTTATTTTTGCTTCTGTTTCTTTTGCCTTAAGAGACAGATCCAAAAAGATATTGCTGCTATTTATATCAAAGAATATTCTGCCTATGTTCTCCTTAGGAATTTTATAGAAATTGGTCTTACATTTAGGTCTGTAATCCATTTTGAGTTTATTTTTGTGTATGGTGTTAGAGAATGTTCTAATTTCATTCTTTTACATGTAGTTGTCCCGTTTTTCAAGCACCACTTACTGAAGAGACTGTCTTTTCTCCATTGTATATTCTTGCCTCCTTTGTTGTAGATTAAATGACCATAAGCTTGTGGGTTTATTTCTGGGCTCTCTATTCTGCCCCATTGATCAATATATCTGTTTTTGTGCCAGTACCATGCTGTTTTGCTTACTGTAGTTTCAGAGTATAGCCTGAAGTAAGGGAGCTTGATACCTCCAGCTGTGTCCTTTTTTTCTCAAGATTGCTTTGGCAATTAAGTAGTTTCATGTAAATCTTAGAATTACTTGTTCTACTTCTATGAAAAATGTCATGGGTATTTTGATAGAGAGTGCATTTCATCTGTAGATTGCTTTCAGTGGTATGCCCATTTTAACAATATTAATTCTTCCAATCCAAGAACATGGAGTATCTTTCCAATTTCCTTGTATCATCTTCAATTTCCTTCATTAATGTTTTACAATTTTCAGAATATAG